TATATATATATATATATATATATATATAGACATATAAGTCAGAAATTTGATCAACTTAATGTATAGACCGCTTACAAGGTCCATAGAGATAGGAAGAGGAATATGAACTTTTTTGGCAAATAAAACAATTAGCATAAGAAGTTTATGAAATTAGCATACAAAAGGTATATTCTAATGAGTTGTTTTGATATGGTGGAGTGGGGTTTGGTCAATGCACATGTTTCATGAACTTTCTTTACAAGATTTGGAAAGAGGCAACTCACAAGTTCATCACATTGTATTGATTATGTGAGAGAAATCTTAAAAATAATAAATAAATAATGTTATTGATGGATCCTCTTTTTTTGAACAATTATGTTAGAATCTTATTGTGCTAGTGAACAAGGGAAGGTGAGAAATAGAGAGCACTAAAAGGAAAAGATTATGGTTAGAGGTCTCAACGCTAAAGGAATTGCTAAAAGATGAGTTATGCATGTAAAAATAATAAGAAAAATATCTAAGGGGTGTGAAGCTAAAATATAGACTCAGCTCAGTCTACTAATGGGTCGTCACACTTAAGGAAGCCATTGGCTCTTCTGTTAGTAGTCACTGCGTAACTATTTGAGCTTAGACTGCTTCCTAAATAAAGTCAATATGACATGTCCTTGAAAAATTTATCTCGAGCCTAATGGATGACCACTTCATCATTGTTTGATAAGTACAGCTTGACTCTGAAGAACCTAATCATCAACTCCATATCATAACTCCACATACTAAGGCAACCACTCATAATAATTTTCAATTATTTATTCAATTTTGCACCACTTTCCTAAAGACTTTTTTTTAAAAATTAATCTAAAATAGCCAAATCTAAACTAGTCCAGGCATTCCAATTATCATATCATACTAAACCCTTGAATATTCCACGTAAAACTCTATATCTCCTCTTGATATGATAAACTAAATATTCAAGACATTTATTAACCTTTAATCTCACCTAAAGTTCACCCAGCACCATCAGATTTGGTATCATAGCAAATTTGGGAAGGAGTAATGTACCAGTATTTTTTTTTTATTTTTGGAGTCTTCCTTTATGGTACGCTTAATGGATCAACCATTAAAATCATGATTGTAAAATATTTCATCATCTTTCATAAAGTAGGTATTTTATTTTTATGATGATTCATTTACATGCATATGAAAATGAATTTAGAAATTCATTTTCTAGTTGAAGAACTTTAGTTAGTTTTTTAAACTTGCAATTTATGTATTGACCTTATTTCTTTACCAAAATATCTATAACTTAACTTCTCCTTCCTCAAAAGTATGTCAAATTTTATTTTCATTTAATCATTCAATTTATGTTGAACTATTGTTTTTGATTAAAATTATCATTTTTAAATGGTTACTTTGGGCTTGTTAAATATAAATTTTATTTTTGTTTTTTTTTAATTTTGTTTGTTTAATAAATTTTTTATGTGTTTTTTTATATTTCTAAAAACAAATAAACATATTTTTTTAAAACACTCAAAATAAATTTTAGGTGAAAAACAATCATAAATATTTTCTTTCAAATCAAAACTTAAAAAAATAATAATATAAAATTTAAAAATAAGAAACAAAAAACATGTGGTCCCAAACCATCCTTAAATTAGAATTTATTCTTTCTTATGAAAGAAAAGTGATTATCTAATATTTAAATTTTATATTTAAATTTAATTATACTCATATTGCATGCATATTTTATATTTCTATTTATACATTTAATTATAAAAATTATAATTCTTGAATAATGAGAGAATCGATGTAGAACAATATACAATTATTTCTATGAAGGAAAATTAGTGTAATAAAATATAATCATTCATGAAGAATACATTATAAGAACAAAATTGAAGGCTAAAAAAATTAAATACCCAAAGAAAATGAAGCTAAAGGTCCATTTACAAGGGCTTAAATAGTAGCCCAAGAAAGTGCACAATCAATAGCTCAACCAAGGCCCATCACAAAAGCTCAACCAAAAAGAAATGCTTGGATTTATATTTCCTCATTTAATTTTTAAATATAATTTCTAAAATTTTGAACTTTTCAAAATTGGAGGTTTGTATGGGATGGCAATAAGAAAAAAATATTAAGAAGGTGATTCGCACCTTTATTGATGGCCATCAACATTTCCCTCCAAATTTTCTCTTTTCTTTTATTTGAAATTTGCTTAATAAAAGCTCTATAAATATGGTTGTGATAGGATGATTTTTATCACCTGTGGAATGAAATATTTGAGTAATTTTTTTTCTTTTTATTTGATACATGTAGCCTTCAAATATGTTCCTTTCTTTGGAGAGATTAGGTAGTTATCCTTAGTGTCTCCCATTTGGCTTATGTTGATGATGTCATCCTGTTCTCCAACGCAAGTAAATCTGCTATTAAGAAAATTAATGATCTTTTGGACGAATTCCAGTCAGTTTCTGGTCTTACTCTCAACTCTAATAAATGTCACATTTATGTGGGGAAAACTATAGGTAGGGATAATGCTAATTGGGCCGCGGGGTATATGGGATTTTCGCTTTCTGCTCTTCCTTTAAAATATTTGGGGGTCAACCTTCTCAAGGGGAGGAGGAAGCAGACCCAAATGGATGAGGTGGTGGATAAAGTCCGCAAGAAAATTCAAGATTGGAAACACAATTCCCTTTCATTTGGGGGAAGGAATACTGTGCTTAAGACTATTTTTACAGGAAAACCAGCTGTAGATTAGATTAACACTAGGAAGCATGTATACAAACACCTTGGAGCACAAGCTAATAGATATTGTTGTTAATTTATTTTCTGTTTAAATATGAACACCCTGTTATAAATAAGAGTTTATGAATTAGAATAACTCTTTTGTTTTTTGTAGTTTTTATCTAATTATGAAATGAAATTAGTAGATATGTCTTCTCCGTCCGACCGTTAGTTCCCGTCTTGATAATTCCATACCCTAGGCTCCTCAAAAATAAGAATACTCACTTTTCTTTTGCAACAATAACTAGAATAAGCCAAAGGGGAGTATATACAACCAAGTCATATGTCCTCATCAGCTCTACCCACCAACATAGGACAGAAAATCGTGTGCAACGAAAGGAACTCAACACATCTCCTCCCCAACTTTGGGATGGAAACATAATGTCACATCCCAAAAGAGCCCTTATGGGTGATGGGCAGCCCAGGACTTAAATACTGCTTTTCGGCCCTACACCTAGCCGATGTGAGACTATTTGTCCATGACAATAAGCTCAATATTGCATTGAAATGATGCCATATATTATTACAATGTATTAAATCCATCTTCAACCCCATCAGTATTTTCTCTCATGACAACTTACCCCATGGGTAATTGAGAAAAGCATCATCATCTTCAAGCATGTAAAATGTATGAAAATAGCAATGTGCAGAGCTGCAAGTCTTCTTGGGTTATTTAAGGCTTTTTTTTTTTTTTTTTTAATGAGCTGATCATGTTTTTGAAATAATATTGTGAGTAAAATTTTATTTTTATTCATATTCCGATTAAAAAAATTAAATATTTCACATGTATACATATTTTACATACCTAAAATCTAAATTTTGATATTTATATTTATAAAATACTGGTAGTATAAACCTATGCATTAAGATGTATATTTTATTTTTATAAAGTTTATCATAGTAATATTTTTTTATGCTATGTTAAAAATTTAAATGTTATGCATATAAATATGAAAGGTTGGATGCTAGATGTACAAATATATAAAAAATATTCGATATATATATATTTAAATATCCCAGAAAATATCCAGCAAATGTATATGTAAGATGACAAATGCTGTGTTTGGTTCTTTCACAATATCTACCTTAAACATGCAGTTAAATAAAAATTAAAATTATAAATAATTAGTCAATATATAAAAAAAAGAAGATTTACATGCATACCACTCAATTCTTATGTATTTACATGTCCATCACATAAATTTCAAATTTACATATATGCCACCTTAATCACCTCCTAAAAGAGCTCTTAGGGGTGGTGGGCAGCCCAAGACTTAAATCCTGTTTTTCGACCCTACACCTAGCCGATGTGGGAATTTTTGTCTGTGATAATAGGCATGAAAAGCTTTGTTTCACTTTTAAAAGTTAAAATAAAGCAAAGTTAAAGTGCTAGATATATAAATAATAGTGGTATTTTTATAAGATGTTAAAAAATTGAGGGTCATGCATTTCAGTATGAAAATTAGGTGCTAGATATGTAAATACAAAAGAATTGTGTGGTATGAATGTAAGTGCCCCGAAAAATAAAAATAAAGCCAGCAACTTATGAAAAATTAAAAATAAAATAAAAGCAACGCTCCTTTGCTGAAGCAAAACATCAAATTGAACTAACTGTATGCATCTTACAAATCGCCTGGGTACTACCTGGAGTGCATCGACTCGTATTGCAGACAATAACTTAACATAAAAATCATACAGAAGATGATATCAGTTGCTGATACCCGAGAACAATTATATCAAAAACATAAAAGAAATGCAGACAAGACAAATTTGAACTGTGAACTCATATTCTAAATGTCAATATATATATATATATATATATATAAAGTTTAAAGTTGGACCGCAAGAAATACTTGCAATCCTTGCAATCCACCCCAGTTAAGACCTCTTTTATTCGAGGCGATCCTCCCCAATACCTCAGGGGACTTACTCACTCTTCCAACCAACGAGCCAGCCAGTGCGAGCGCGCGCGCGCGCACAATATATATGTATATATATATATACGCGCCGCGTACTCAGATCAGTCGGTCGGGCATCTACTTGTCAGTTGTAAGTCCCCTCTGATCTGGGGTTCGATTCCCCCCAGAGTGTCGGGTGTGGTACTCGAATTCTTAGGCGAATGGGATGACCGGGGCTCTATATATATATGTGTGTGTGTGTGTGCTCGAAGAATTCAGAAAGAAGAATATGGGATGGGAGCTGTGGGCAAATAATTCAAACCACAAAATTAATGACTTAGAAAGAAGATAAGATACAATATGTAAATGATGCGTGGCTCCCATTCAGATTACAAGAAAAAAAGGGGGTCATGGAAACCAATTTAGCATGAGCTAACAGATTAATCATACAAAAATAATGCCTTACGGCCCTGGCTTAAACTTTTTCAATTTTCGAATTTTATATTAAAAGAAAATATGGTTGAAAAAACAAAAAAACAAAAGAAAAAATCAACCATAAGCAAACCTGGCTTCAAGTGCTGGCTACTGAGCTGTGGTCCATGGATTCAAAATCCAGCTCTTCATCAGAGTCAATTACTTCTTTAAAATCATAATAAGGATTGACCTGCATGAGAACAGTAATTAAACGAAATGTTGAACAAATCATACATGAACAGAGCAGCGGTGGGAAAAGTACAAGGGGCATTACATACATACCACACAATTCTTATATACTTACAAACAAAACACTCCACTCTTTGAGATTAAAATAAAAAATATCACTATTACTAACATTTTAAAAGCGAAATACATATTTTCATGCATAGGTTATGAAACCAACAAAGTTTAGATGTTAGACATAAATAAGTAAGAGTTGTGTGGTATGTATGCAAATTTTTCAAAATACTATGTCGGAAGGCATAAAGCACCTCAGGCCTCGGTTTGACAGCTTCAAAGGTATGGAACTCAGGAGTAGCAAAATCTGGCGGTTGCAAAACAATATATGCACCACGATTCTTGTATCGCACATCAGTAGCCTGAAATGACGATGAAGCGCAGATATGATTTACATGCCAAACACAGATTCCAAATATTGAAGTACAAACTAATATTTCATGAACTCGCTACAATAAATGGAAATGCCATGTTTCAAACTCAAAAGTTGCTAATATTAGCAAGGAATTAGAATTTTTTATCCAACTTTTAGTTGCAATCAATTAAATGTTAGTTGAAAACTATATCAGCATGCCTATGATGTTATCTCTACAATGCTAAAGGCCGCGAAGATTTGAATTTTGTCAATTTCTTCTTTGGAATATTTATCTTGTTCTATTTACTGTGAAGCATTTAAAGGTGTTATCTTAAAATATGTACAGATTTGTTCCTCTGTCGACTTCCCTGAGTCCAACTTCCTCTGCTTTCACCATCTTTTATGAGTTCTTCGCTTAGATTCCATTATTATGATAGTAGAACAATTGTGGTTGCCTTCCATATGCCTATAATATAAACCTGCCTATGAGATTTGCGGCCTTCTTCCACATAGTGCAAGGTCTAGTCCTCAGGAAACTCAACAAATTTCTTGTGGGGATTTTATTGTTTTGATTTAAGTTGTGCTAAAGGTTGTTAATGGGTGGCTGATTAGGACTGTGGAATTGCAGCTGATTGTCAGTCTCTCTTACTAGTTCTTGGCTCTCAATATTTATCCACTTTGTGATTCATTTTTCTTTCCTTTAAGATTGAATAAGAGGACTTTTTCTAATGGTCTTTAAGATCATAAATAAGAGTTGTAACGTTGTTCAAAATAAAATTTATTATTCCAAATAAAATATTGATATGATGTCATAGTACAAACCTTAATTATTTATGGAAGATGTTATCTCCTTGTTCAAGTTTGCTCGTGTAATTGACCTATGTCAAGTTTGATATAATTTGGATTTCTATAAGAGCATGATTGTCAATTAGTGGTATGATATTTCAATGTTGTTAATTTCTAAATATTGTTTCCATTATCATGTGCAATGATTCTATTATGCATTTAGTTCTCATCATACAATGAGATCCTCGGTTTATAAAAGGCCATTTTTGTTTAAAATTATATAAATGCCTAATTTAGTCCATGGACTCTAAAGATAGAAGTCAACATAAACCCACAGCTAAAAGTAACAAAAAGTTAAATTATAGTTAATGAATAGCATAGAAAGGTGGAGAAAATCGTATTCTTTTATTTCTCAATCTTCAAAATACAACTATTCCTTTTATTATATAAGAAGCGACTAAAGCAAGCTTAATTATGCCTATTACAACTTATCAAAGAATAAACAACTAAAAAAAGTACATTCAACATAATAGAGCAAATAATAAAAGATAATAAAACTAAATAGGAAACTCTTAATTCCACACTCCCCATTAAGCTAGGTTATATATATATATATATTGTAAAGATCCAACTTGATATTCAAAACAGTGAAGCTGTTTGGAGGTAGAGATTTAGTGAAGATAACAATAACTTGAAAAAGAGTTGGAGTGTAGATTAGGTGAATAATGCCTCAATTGACCTTCTCAGAGATAAAATGTTAATCAGTCTCATAGTGTTTGACCCTGTCATGATGCATAGGATACTTTGCAATACTGATGACAGCTTAGTTATCACAGAATATCTTTATGAAATTGACCGTGAAATATCCCAACTAATTTAGTCACCTTGGGATCAACATTCCTTCACAGATTCCCAAAATAAGAGCTTGATACTCCTCTTTCTAGAGACCATTGCTTGCTTCTTGCTCTACCATGTGACAAGATTTCCCAATACATAGAAACAAAACTCAAAAGCGGATTTTCTGTCATTAAGTTTTCCTGCCCAACCAACATCCGTGTAAAACTCTACATCCCTGTTGTCTAATTTCTTAAACAATAACCCTCTGTCAATAGTCTTCTTAAAAAATATCAATATTTTGTAAACCATCCATGGAAGTTTTCATTTAGACTGTTCATATGTTAACTCACAATGCCGACAAAGTAAGCAATATCAGTTGTAGTGTGTGACAAGTAGATAAGTTTACCGACCAATCTCCAGTATCTATATTTTTCTACTAGTGTCTTTTCTCCCCTTGAATGTAACTTTTTGTTGAAATCCATAGGAGTCTCACTAGGTTTCCATCCTAGCATTCATGTTTCTTTTAGTAAGTCTGGGATGCACTTTCTTTAGGATATCACAATTCTCATAAAAAAATATATCATCGTTCCTAGATCCTTAATTTCAAATTTAGTGGCCAGAACCTCATTAATCTTCTCAAAGTATTTTTCATCATGTCAATATTATATCATCAACATAGACAATGAGCATAGATTTCTTAGATATATGTCTATGTTACATGAAAAATGTATGATCAGTCTGTCATTAGATGTACCCATTAGATTTCACAGTCTTAGCAAACTTGTCAAACCAAGCTCATGGAAATTGCTTGAGGCCATAAAATGAATTTTATTTTATAAACCAAATGTTAATTTGAGCCATTTTTCAGTCCCTATGGAATTTCTATATACACTTCTTCCGCAAAGTCTACATTCAAAAAGGCATTTTTGATATCAAGTTGATGCAATTCTTACTCTTTGATATAACTCTGACAGTGTTTAACTTGGCCGCTAGTGCAAATGCCTCTTGATAGTCTATCTCATAGGACTGAGTGAAATATTTAATTATCAACCTAGCTTTGAACTCAATGCTCTCACTACTTTATACTTGAAAATGAACACCCATTTACATCCACCAAGTCTTTTATCTGAAGGAAGCTTTGTAAAGGTCCATGTGTCATGTAAATCAAGTGCTTGAATCTTTTCTTCAATTATTTTTAGTCATTCTATACTTTTTAAGCGTTTCATAAATAGACGGGTAAATGCACACTACCAAGATTAGATACAAAAAATTTATAAGATGATGATAACTTCCCATAAGGTAGCATAATCCTGTATAGAATAATTTGTGGAACTTTTCCTATCTTCTCCACCGGATTCCATCTCCCTTTGAACTACGAAGATGTGTGAATTCAGGTTTGGTTGTGACAATTTTGTGGTTGCATCTTTCCTTTATCCTAATCAGTGAATTTCTTTCTCCTAGAATGCACAAGAAGTTCCTTCAGAAGATCGTTGTTGTCAATTTCAGGTTGGATATTCTCTCAAGTGGTGGAATTTGAGCAACATGAAGGTTAGAGGGGAATAGAATAGTCTGCGATTACTCTAGAACAGTGTGGGTATCCAAAGTAGTGTCCCAAGACTGATAGTCATCCAGACTCTCCCCCTAAATATCGGATTTGGGATAGTATGGTTAGTTTTTAAAGAAAGTCACATCTATAAAGTTATAGGATGTTTTTGTAAAGGAAGAATAGCACGTGTACCACTTTGCGTTACAAGCATAGATAAGAAAATTTTGGGTCAGGCTATGTGCGGTTTAATTGGTGAATGTGAACAAAGAAGACATGAACAAATATTTTTTGAGGAAGATTAGATGAAAAGACTCTAACATGAGGGTATTTTTTCATCACAATATCGAGAGAGAGAGAGCTTTGATACCAGAGACCCTGCTTAGCATTCTATTAATAAGAAAAATGTTTGTGAGCACTGCATTCCCCAGATAATATTTGGGGCATTATGAGAAAGCACTATAGACCTAAATATCTTGAGATGTCAATTCTTTCTCTCAGCTATTCCATTTTGTTATGGGATCTCAACACAGAAACTCACATGGATGACAAAATTCTTTGCAAAGTTGGGTTTAGAATTGAAGTGTTCAATTGCATTATCAGTTTTAAGAATCTAAATTTTGCATTGAAACTTATTTTTAATCATGTTATGAAATGATTAAAAGATTTGTGCAATTTAAAATTTCTCCTTCATGAGGAATATCTAACTAGTTATAGTGTGATCATAAAAAAATAAGAAATTATTTGGCTGCATTGATGGATTTCGATTTTGAAGGTCCTCAAATGTCACTGCTGATGATAGAAAAGATGTGATCGTTGGAGGGTATGTTTAGCCAATTAACAGGTTTCATACTGATTAAACTGACTTTTTATTAATAAAGAGATGAGAGTATAATTTTGCAGCATAATGAAAATTAGGCTGACTCAGACAACCATGTCATAATAAAACTTAACTCTCAATAGACTCATAAACAACAAACTCGGAAATATGGGATGAGGATAGTAGAGAAGACGCACGTGTGTTTAAAGAATAACTATCATTGAGTAGATATAGACCTTAATGCAATTCATCGTTGTCAATCGCCTCCTCCGAATTCACCACATGAAATTAACAAGAGCTAGAATAAAATGTAGTAACAAAGTTCAAATCACGAGCAAGCTTGCTAATAGAAAGTTGCAATCTAATTTGGGAACATATAACACAATAGAAAGTTGGATATCTTTGGAGATTTTCATTTCTCCTTTCTCAATAATCCTGGAGTAAAATTCATCTGCAAGTCTAACACATTTAGAAGTGGTGAACTCTTGGTAGTTTGTGCGGGCATGAATGTCTCTAGTCATGTAATCAAAAGCACCTAAGTCTATCTTCCAAGATCAAATCTTCCATTATTAGCGCGATAGGAGGATATGATACCTTGGTTTACCATCAAACTAGTAAGCAACTCAATTATGCTATAGAAAGAAGTTTTTTCAACACATCTAGTTGTTCCTTAGTGAAGGGACTAGGGTCAACCAACCCTTCATAAGAAGTAGTGGCGCGGGCCTTGCCGTCTTAATCCTTCCTCTCTTGCCCATGTTTCCAATCTGTAGGTTTTTCATGCAATTTTCAACAAATATCCTTTGTGTGACTAAGTTTCATGCAATATTCACACAATGGAAGATTATTTTTTTTACTCATGAGAAGAGTTGTTTGTGTATAAGGTGGGGCTTTCAATGCTAGATGAATTCACACTTCCTACCATCATGGGTTTCTTCTTATTTTCTTCTCTTCTAACTTCAGCAAAGGCTTCCCTAATGGCTGGGAGAAGTTTCATCCCTATGATTCTTCCTTTGACCTCATC